TGCTGGAGTCTCACTCTGTCGCCCAGGCTGGAGTGCAGTGGCATACTCACGGCCGCCGCAGCCTCGACCCGCTGGGCTCCAGTGATCCTTCCGCCTCAGCCTTCCGAGTAGCCAGAACTATAGGCACATGCTACCATGCCCAGCTAATTTTTTTTATTTATTGTAGAGACGAGGTCTCGCCAAGTTGCCTGGGCTGGTCTAGAAACCATGGGCTCAAGTAGTCCTCTCGCCTCTGCCTCCCAAAGTGTTGGGGTGACAAGCATGAGCCTCCGTGCTTGGCTTCTTTTTAAGTTCTTAAGTAACACCCAGCCCTCCTTCCCAGCTCCTCCCCGTTGCTGCAGGAGAGCAAGAGCTGAGGGCGAGGCCAAGTGGACTTCACTGTTGCCGTCCCAGGAGCTGACTACGACACAGAGATTGGAAGGGAATTGGGGTCATAAGCTGTCGATCCTTTGCAAAGCTGACTCAGGCACACACAGCTTCCCCTTTTCCGGTCCCCTTACTCTGTCCACTCCTCTTTGCACCCTTGACAACATAGATCCCCGCCTTCGGGTCCAGCGGGCTTCATTCATTCATTATTTCACTCAACCAATGTATAGTCATGTATTCACTCACAACTGGATGAAGGTAGAAGCCTCCCACCTAGTATTACTCTTACGAGTTGTCCCGCCTCGTTGAGATCTATCTTACACTGTTGGGTTTCTCTTTCTGCACAGAAAGCTCATCTGAGATAGGCCTCCCTTAGAGCAATCACGTAACACTCTGTGTATACGAGGGGGTACGCAAAAAACCCGGAATTTATATGTAAGAAATTGTGGGCCAGGCTCGGTGGCTCAGCCTGTAATCCAGCACTTTGGGAGGCCGAGGCGAGAGGATTGCCTGAGCCTACGGATTCGAGACCCGCCTGGGCCACTTGACGAGACCTCGTCTCTACAATAAATCAAAAACTAGCCGGGTGTAGTAGTGCGCCTATAGTTCTGGCTACTCGGAAGACTGAGGCGGAAGGATCACCGGAGCCCAGCAGGTCGAGGCTGCAGTGGCCAGGAGCGGCCACTGCACTCCAGTCTGGGCGACAGAGTGAGACTCCAACTCAAAAACTAAAAAATTAAAAAAAAGAAATTGTGAACTGGACGTGGTGGCTGAAGCCTGTAGTCTCAGCACTTCGGGATGATGAGGTGAGGGGATTGCCTGAGCTCACAGGTTCGAGAACAGCCTGGGCAACTTGGTGAGACCTCATCTCTACAATAAATAAATAAATGAATAAATAAGCTGGGTGTGGAAGTGCATGCCTGTAGTTCTGGCTACTCGGAAGGTTGAGGCGGAAGGATCGCCGGAGCCCAGCAGGTCGACGCTGGGGTGCCTGTGAGCGTGCTACTGCACTCCAGCCTGGGCGATGGAGTGAGACTCCAATTCAAAAGACAAGAAAAGAAATTGTGCATTTATCCCTACATGTTTGAGCTTCCGTCACCTTGAAAGGACTCTCCGCTGGATGCCATACACCTATCAAGAAGCTTTCCCACTGTTCAAAAGTTTTTGAACTCGTCCACTCTGATGCCTTTTAGTGCTTCTGCCGTTTTTTGCTCCACCTCTTCCGCATGGGCAAAACGTTTCCCTTTGAGGACTGTTTTCATCCAGGGAAGCAAAAAAAAATTTGCTGGAGTGAGTGTGGGTGAACCGAGAGGGTGGGGCACAGGGGTCATGCTGCTTTTGGCCGAACACTCAGTGTAGTACAGGCAAGCGTGCTCGTGAGCCACTCATTGTGAAGCGGGCAAACGTGTTGAAGGAACCTCCAGAAAAATGCACTGACGCTGAACGCAGCCTCTCACAACAACACTAGCTTGGACATGGATGCCTATGGGTTCCTAGAACACTCGCCTTGGGGGAAGCTTGGACTGCAAGGGGCCCGCCCGCCCGAAGATAATTTGGGTTTGGGGGGGTCCCCCTTGGACTTGCTGGCTTTCGATTGTCCTGTTGCTAATTCTAAGCAAATCATTTGACAACAGCGAACCTCTGTGCAGTCTCCAGGTCAGACGGTGTGGGCCCACGGTTCTCCCTTCTCCAAGGACTGCCCCATGCTTGGCCAAGTGCAAAGTGTGTCGGTACTCAGAAGATGCTCTGGGGAAGAAGGACTCTGACTAGTGAACGACACCAGCCCACCAGTGCTCCTACCTCCACGCCATGCCATGAAACAGTCTGGCCATAACCACAGGAAGAGAACTACCCATTCTGCCAATCTCCCAGGATAAGTAGACTCCAACGTCACTTTGCAAAGAGAAAACTCTGAAGGGTCGCAAGACGAAGCCCCACCCACTCCCGAGACTGATGCTGGGGCCAGGCCTGGATGCCAGGTCTCCCTACTTTGGCTTCTGACCCTAAACATTGGAGTTCCCTAGTCTGAGCCCATCTGGGGAATGTCGTAACCTCACAGGGACACGCAAGAAAGTCGATTCCTTCTGCTCTCAGCCTTGCCGTGCCCTGAAGACTCGCTCCACTCACACCATGCTGGGCTTCTTGACAAACTTCCGCTTAGCCAGAATCCAGGAATTCAGAATTACATCCACAGTTCCATGGTGACCTGACTGCTTAAGAGGCCAGCTGTGTGGAGGACAGCTGTGGAGGGGCCAGCTGTGCTGGTGAAAGACGTGGCCTTCTTTTTGCCGGCCCTGCTAGAAGAGGGATGTCCTATAAAAGATACCATTAAGACTCAACTATGTATCCATTTTTTCTATAGTTTTTCCTTATCATCGTTCTTGATTTCTTTTGTATAATTAATAATTGTAGCTTAACATTCCCTACATTTGGTTTTGCAGCTTAACATTCCCTACATTCGGTTTTGCAGTCTAATCTATACTTCTTTAAGCCGCTGGCCCTTTTCAAATCTTAATCCTGGTTCCTATTTTGTATTTTTGATCTTTCAGATCTTCTGGCTTTTGTTTGCCTTCCATGTCTACATAACTCTTTTCTGAGCTTTAATTTTTCAGCATTGATTTATTTTAACGCGCATTGGACCCCATTTGCCTCACCTTCTCATTTCACCAGCATTCCCTTTGGGCGATGAGGTTATTGATTTTGATTTTATATGTTGCTTTCACATATTTCCCTAGTTTTTATTCTTGTCTAGTTTGTTTTTCTTTTTAAAATTTTTTTTCCTATTCCAGGAGAGTCAGCAAAACATCTATCTGAATTCTCCATATTTTATATATTTTTATTCTTATCGTGCTATTATTATTTTAAAACATACTTTTTATTTGCATTATTTACTCTCGGTTTACATTTTTAAGATTTTTCCCGCGTTTTACTTGGGTCCTAGCTTGCCGTTCCTCATGCGAGGTGCTCCGTGTTCTTTCATGATCACTGCATTCCCTGCACCCTCCTAACTCTGCGTGCGCCCCCTGTCTCTGATTCAGTCCAGTCCCCTTCTCGTGCTCAGTGCCGGTTCTTTTCATGGCTTCCTTGTGGGCTGTTGAGATGATGGCAGGAGAGGGATGCCCTTGGCAGGAGTGAACACCCTCTGTCCGGGGCCCGGAGGGCATTCCCTCTATCAGCACACTATCCAGTGTCTGACTGTACAGCTGATGCTCGATCAGGGCGGTTCAACCCATCTAAGAATAAGCCCAATGCCTCTTCTCTTAAGAGCTGCTCAGACCAAGATTCACAGTCCTAACAGTGCCACCACCGGCTCGCGGGCAAACCTGGGCAAGACAGTCTCTCGGGACTGGGTAGCAGCAGCTCCCCCTGCTAAGCACTCAGCTGGGGCCAGGCGCTGTGCACAGCGAGCCCTTCACAGGCACCCTCGCATCGGATGCCGCACACTGCACGCTGTGGCCACTGATCGCATCGCATAGCTCCCATTTCACCCTGGAAAGGGCAGGGGGAGGGGCCGGAGGCGCCGAGCAGGTTGTCCCAGGTCACCCAGCTAGGACGGCAGAACTGAGGCCCACATTGACGTGAAGGTGGCCCTGGCTTGGCCACAGCACACGTGGTCCTGCTCTCTGGTTCTTAACCCCTGGCAAGCTTTTCATTTCCCCTGGTGGTGTTTTATTTTAAAGTTTGTATAACAGACTTTACTTGCAGGAGCAGTGCTAGTGTTCGTGAAAACGGACCAAAGTGTCCAGTGTGTTCCCGCATGCCCTCCCCCAACACGTAGCTTCCCGCCATGGGGTGCACTGGTCACCATCAAGGGAGCAATACTGACAGACTGTTATGAACCAATGTCCATTAGATCCTGTCGGCTTCACTCTTTGTGCTGCTCCTTCTGTGGGTTTTGGCCACGCAGAGAGTCACACGTCCACCATCCTGGCATCACACCAAATGCTTCCGCTGCCCTAAAAGTTCCCTGTGCCCCACCTGTCCCTCTCCCCTCCCTGCAGGCCACCACTGATCCTCTTACTGTCTCCGTGGTTTTGCCTTTTCCAGAATGTCCTATGGTTGGAATCACACAGCATGTATCCTGTGCAGGGTGACGTTCTTCACTTAGTAATGTGCACTTACGGTGCCTCCACGTCTTTCCATGACCTAGTTTATTTCTTTTCATTTCAGAATACTATTCCATCGCATGGATGTACCTGTTTATTTATTTACCGGTTGCAGGACATCCTGGTTGCTTCCAAAACTTTTCATTTATTTTGATTTTTAAATGTTTTCAAAACTCAGATGCCTGGCTTTGATGCCACCCTACGTTCTTGGGACCTAACTCTGGGGATTCTACCTGTATAGGCTTAGGGTACAACCTGTGACTCTGTGGCTTTAAAAGCTCCCCAGGAGCCGGGCTTGGTGGCTCAGCCTGAAAACCTGTGCTTGGGAGGCTGTGAGTGGATTGCCTGAGCCCGCGGGTTCGAGACCCGCCTGGGCAACTTGGCGAGACCACATCTCTACAATAAATCAAAAAAAAAAAAAAAATTAGCTTGGCATGGTAGCGCGTGCCTGTAGTTCCAGCTACTTGGAAGGCTGAGACGGAAGGATTGCCAGAGCCCAGCAGGTCGAGGCTGCGGTGGCCGGGAGCGGCCACTGCACTCCAGTCTGGGTGACAGAATGAGACTCCAACTCAAAAAAATAAAAATAAAGATAAAGAAATAAAAGCTGCCCAGGAGAGCCTACTGCTCAGTCAGGTTGGGGAGCCCCTGCTTGGAAGCCTCAATTGCCTGTCTGTTCACAGTGAGGAAGACATGACATTATATTCTCAAGGTGACCCTTGGCCTTCTGGGCAGGTACCCACTCTGCCCGTCTCATTTAGGTGCAAACATGCATAAGCCCGACGCCTGCATATGTATGCATCCATAATATACCCATTCACAAGTACACATGCACACACACACCCTGCCCTCCTCCTTTGCTGATGAGAGGTCCCCATGTCCCCCCTGGCCACACCTGGCATGGCCAGTGAGAAGACCCTGGGAGGGCATCCCAGCTTCAGAGCATCCAACCAGAGCAAAGGCTTCTGGATTTGGGACTGTGTCCCTCTGTAGACAACCAGGCCGGGTCAGTGAACGACACCCCCATTCCCGCCTGGGCAGGCTGGCCTTGGCAGACCTACCTTCTTGTACTTGTGGGGGAAGGTGAACCTCTCGATGGTGTTCTGTACGGCTCCTCGAGTCACGTTTCCCAACCTGTCTTCCAGCTGCAGCAGCTCCTGCAAAGAGAAAAGCATGGGTGTGTGTCCTAAGCACAGTCAAATGCACAGGCGTGTGCACAGGAGAAGGGCGAGTATTCCCACGGCCATCAGGAAGCACGGGTCTGATACTGAGAGGTGCTCTTCCTGCTTCTAGCTCAGACTCTCGCCCTGGGGCCGGCTCCCCAGGCCCTTCCCTCCACGCCATGGGGAAGCCACCACCACCAAGCCACATACCTCGTAGCTCTCTCTCACGGCGGAGGTGTGTCTGCTGGGATTTAGTCCCTGGAGAGCAAGGAAGTGAAGCTGAGGGTAAGGGTAGTTTCGGATTTCATGGACGACCTGCCAGAGAGACAATGCCTTAGACAGAGCCCAGAGAGTCCAGGCTTCTCCTTCAGCCACCATCAGTCAGCGCAGCCTGAGAAGCTGCCTTTCCTGCTCCTGTGTCCCTCTCTCTTCCTCAAGAACCAAGCTGGGGGTGGGATGCAGGAGGGGGTGCAGGTGGGATGCGGGGAGGGTCAGGATGCAGTGGGGGCAGGAGTGGGGTTAGGCAGGACACACGGGGGATTG